GGTAACTTTGATTGCGAAAGACTCCGTTTGCCAAGAACGTTCTTCATGAGGAATCGCTTGTCTTTTAACGAACCTACTTGCCATCTCACTGGGACTTTGGTCATCTCCGTGTAGAACAACTGAATAAAACCGAACTTCAGGATGTTGGGTAAAGTGATCGGTCAGCGAATGGGAGCAATGAACGAAGAGTTCTTGATCTGTGTACACGAATGGGACTGTGTTGGAGATTTGTTTCCAATTATCCCGAAGAGTTCTGTTCACCTGAGGAAGAGCGCGGTCAATGAACATGCCGATACGGAGAGCACGAGGGAGAACAACTAGATGACGCTGGAGAACAGCCAGTCTTGATAGCTTACAGGTATAATGTCCTGAGTCTTCAGGCCTCGCTTTACGCTTGACCAATTCGAACGTGGTTGCTCCATCTTTCTTAACAATGGTGAACCCACTAGAGGCTCTAGTGAGCTTTGTTCCAATGTCTCTCGCTTGTTCCCCATAATAGCACACGAGCTCGTGATTTCGTACTGATGCTGCACCAAGCATGACGATAGGAGCACCTTCCTGAATGGTCGCCCTCCAACCAACACGGATACGCATAAGCTGGTAGGCAAAGTGTGACGCTGGAGGGCCTCCTATACTGCGTTCATTCATGTCCGTAGATCCGTTCATCCATTGCTCCAATGAGCCAACTAATGAGTTTTGGAAAGCATGTTCCACCACAGGTAAGCTGTTGCGATAATCATACGTGTTAAACACAACTAACATCAGTGCAACGTGTTTGGGAAAGAATGAGCAAACAATCTTCGATTTGGCGATAAAGTATCCATGTGCTTCTTGATACTCGTTGGTCTCCATGATGGCCGCAGGGGCCTTCATTCGTGGGACCTCGTACAATCCGTCTTGTCGACAGTCATCTCTCCTCACCATTCCACTTCTGTACGAGTACAAGTACATCTTCGACAGGCCTTTCGGAGAACCAAGCCTTGCTATAAAATTGAACCGATAATTGCCTTCCAAAATACGTGATTTTGGAGCACTAGCCTGAAAAGATCTTCCGTCAGTTACTGAGTTTAGCGG